CCGTCAGAAATTCGGTGAACAGCCAATCAGCGGACGCGTTGCCGAGGTCATGAGTTCTGTGGAGTGGATCGCTGTCGTTGAGACGTCTATTTCTGGCCGACGGACGGCAGCCAACTGAGTTTTTTTTTTCCCCGGAGTCACCTTAGTTTTTAGCCGGCTGTCACTGTTCACTAATTTTAAGAAACATGTTTGCAGCCAAGACGACGGCTCGGTGCGTAAACAGCCTGTTGTTGTCGACCGACGTGTGTCGGCAATGCCACCAGCCAGTTTGCAACCTGGCTACCTGAATCGATCGTCATTGGCCTTCCATATTTTGTTGCGGTTCCGACGATAAGAACAGGTTTGATGCCAGCTGCGGATGCAGTATTTTGTCAAGGGGGGGGGGGGGGGTGCCACGCTTCACGGTGGTGCTCTCTCGAACTCCCCCCCCCCCCCGCACAAACAAGTCTCCAGGCTTCGGCCACTTCAAGCGATCAGATATATTCCGCCAGAATGCTCCTCGGATTTTGGTTACTATCTTCAGAGCTTTATTGTATTTTATGTTGTATGTTGAACTTAAGCAGTTGAGGCCGTTTGGGGGGCTTTGGTGCGTCTCACTTTGAACTTTGGTGCGTCTTAAAAACATAGGTTAAATGTACTTGAAACCAGTATTCTGGTGCCCCATCACCACGATATTTACGTGCCTCTTCGCCGCAAGGGAGGCCATGGCCCCATGCCCTCCCCCTCTGGATCCGCCCTGTTTTGTGTCATTGTAACAGTGTTTTGCGACGCCAGGCATGTAGACTGTGTAGCGGCGCAGACAGGCGGGGGGGGGGGGGAGGGCACAGGGGGCAAGTGTTCCTCCCCTTCCTTTTACTTCCGGGCCGTTCGGAAACGACGATTAACGGCTCGGCTCTCTTTGAGGGCTGAAGGACCTGGAAGGCTTGCCGAACATGGCATTCATGGGCCGAGCCCGCAAAGAGTGGACCTGGAAGGTCAGTTAGAAAGGACAGGACCCGAAATCTCAGCCCTTTGCACCGATCGGGGCCCCTGAGGCGATTAAGCCCCCTGTGCTGGTCAGGCACCACCAGTGCCGCACGGTCGGCTCTGTGCCGGCATAGCTCTGAGGGTCCATACCCAAGCCGGGACCAAGCTGGGGCCCCTATGTCTGCCAGGGGATTACAGTGCCTGACAAGGGTTCCCGTTTTGTTAAGGGGACCCGAGCCGGTCAGGGATAGTGTTGGATTAAGCCCAAATAGGGACCGCAGGGCCCTTCGGGACAGACGATCGAGGGTCCGATTTGTGGGTCTTGGGCCCTAAGAGCTGGCTGTACGTACCATTTATGACCTTGGCCTGTAGGACTGGGTCTGAATGAAATTTAAATGTCAGCCAAATGTTCTCTTTCACCGATGAGGAACCCCTTTGGAACAAGCGGTGATGTGTTTCGGTTAGAGACCACTTACACCGAATGGTCTGCTCCGTGCCGGTCTGCACGCTGGGGGCCCCCATTTCCCAAGCAGAGTCAAGGCGGGGAAAACGAGTTGCATTGCCCGGAGCCAAAGAAACACTGAGAGGCCCTGTGTCGGTCAGGAGTCCCCAGTGCTTAGCAGGAGGTTCTGTGTCGGTGAGGGGCTGAGAGTCGGCCAGGGAAGCATTTCTTGAGCAACGACATGGACGAGTCCGCGAATGCCAGTGGATCCCGTGCAATGGTCAGGGCTCTCTGACAGTGGAAGGAAATATGAGAACTTGATGAAGAGACGGGAGCTCACAATAAGACAATGGGCGGCCCCTGTACCAGTCAGCGGCCCCAGTATCGAATGGGAGGCCCTCCATCTCCTTTCAAATAGGGGTTCGTTAAGCCGAACTGGAGTCCCCGTGCCAATTATTGAACCTCCTGCGGTGATGAGGGGTCTTCTAGCGTCAATGAGGGCTTCTGTGTCGATCTGAGGCCAACTGGTTGATCAATGGACCTGACAAGCCAGGGGGGAGGACCAATGTATGATACACGTCCCTATGGGCCTCTACATCAACCAGGGGACCCCGCCCCCGTGTCGCCGGAATGGCAGCCGGTGGTTGGTGGGTATCCTGCACTGGGATGGAACGGCACTTCAATGCGTGACCCAGAGCGGTACATACGGAATCCCTCGCCCGGGAAACGTTCGGGTCTTTGGTGTTCAGTAGGGTGGATCGAAAGAAAGTCAAAAATGAAAAGAAGGTTTGTCCGTCCCGGTGGCTCAGTTGGTTAGAGGGCCTGCCTTCCGCTCCACCCACTCATGGCAGTGTGGGTTCGAGTCGCTTCAAGGCGCTCGCTATTTGCCCTTGACAGGTATGGCCTGCGGCCGGTGGCAGCGGTCGCGGTAAAGCTCAGTTGACGTCAGAGGGCGGGACAGACCGTGCCGGGCATTGCGGCACGCTAAGCTTTCGCTACTAAATCTACCGTTGCCTGGAATTGCGCGTTCGGGTGGTGGGGTTCAGGGCTCACACAACAAGCACTGCTTAGCGTGAGCGCTGATCCTAGAAATCCATCAGTGCAAAGGGTTCGGATCAAATTCATAAAGTAATAGAAAATAATATATCATAATAAAATATCATAAAAAGTTAATCCATGTTTGCCCAATGACATCCATTCTTTCCAGAATTGTCTGATGAAACAAACTACATAAAACAAGCTTTGAGGCTGCGCGCTACCAATCATAGGAGCAAGAACACTGATAGCCTAGGTTACAGTTTTCGTCGAACAGAACGTCAGATCTAACGTCAAGCGTCAAACCGTTGAACGTCAAACCCTCAGACGTCAAACCGTCAAACGCCAAACCGTTAACCAAAATACCGCCAAACGTCAAACAGTCAAATGTCAAACCGTCAAACGTCTAACCGTCAAACGACAAATCGCCAAAAGTCGAATCGCCAAACATCAAAAGCCAAACGTCAAACCGTCAAACGTCAAATCGTCGAACGTCAAACCATCAAACGTCAAACCGTCAAACGTCAAACCGCCAAACGTCAAACCGTCTAACGAAAAATCCCCAAACGTTAAACCGTCAAACGTCAAACCGCCAAACGTCAAACGTTGGCCGCTGCAGATTACGGCAGGCGGCGGGCGCCGGGTGCGCGAGAGCGACCGTCCTGAACTGATGTTTCAGCAAGTCTTTCAAAGTCAGTTCGTACCGCTTAAAACTCTGACTGGAACGCATATTTTACCTATGTTATTTTGGAGATGTCTTCCGGACAAACTAAGAGCCACTGCAACACGAAAAATAGATATTCTTCCTTTACTTTTCTAGTTCGACCATCTAATCTAACCTATTACTAACCTAAAAAAACATTTTGTTGGAATACGCCTTGAATACCTTCCAAACGCACAAGTCGATGAACCAAAGCGTTCATGTCTGCACCTTTCATACACGCCATCATTTTCGTCCACCCGTTGGTCGTTGCCTAGTATTTACCGCGGAACCGAACCGTGCGGCCTGCGTAGACTGCAACGCCGAGCATCCGGTTTTTTCAAAGCCTTGCGTGTGATTTTGTTTTTAAAAAATTGAAGTTATCTTCACGGCTTGATTCTGAATGAAGGTTAATTTTTTTCTGAGACAAAAAATTAGTTGGCCATGCCAAAAGAAATTTTTGACACGGTGTTGATCTACAATCTATGTTCAGCGAGTTTTCAATACATTTTTGTTCAGTACTCGATTCCGAATGAAGATTGAACGTTCTCAGAAAAGTGTGTTGGCCATGTTAAAATATTTCGATCTCATTTCGACCCACAATGTATGCCGAACGGAGCTCTCAAAATATTTGTAGAACCCATAAAATGTCTGTCGAACACTATGAGTACTATCAGATTAGATAGTGTCCGCCAAACATTTTTAAAATATATTTCACCACTTACTTATTCCATAACGTCTTTTATCAACTAAATACTTAAGTAAATTTACTTAAAGGCACAACAATTATTGCATCTTATGGAGGCTTCTGCTTCCTGCTCTACGTAAAGGTGCTAAAAATGAAAATGAAAAGAAGTAAATCGGACCGGCTCGAAATCGAGCGGGCCCTGTTTGGTGGCTTTGAGAAAGGCCTGTCACCATTAGGGCGCTCTTTGTCAACCCTGTGCCCCCCCCCCCCCCCCCCTCCTTACCAAGACTGGCTACACTCCTGCTATGTGTAAGCCGGCGCAGGTCTTCGCCCCCTCAGCCGCACACGCAGCGGTGCCGGCGAAAGTTCAGGTACGGGCCCGGGCTGGCGCAGCCTCACACTCAATGACTCGGCTGTATCGCCGCAATCTTCTGCGGCCATCGGTCAACAGCGCTAATCTTGCGTCAACATACCTCTAACAGCAACACAAGTACGCCCCTATCGCGCTAGCCCACCCCTGCGTCCGCGGGCGGGTATTGGTGATCCAGTTTGCCGCTGGGAGACCGGGCCGTCGGCGTTGAGCTGGAGCAGCCGCGGGGACCGCAGAGCCACTGCCATGCCAGCGTACGGCGGGCCTGGGCCCCGCGCTGGTGCACAGCTGCCGGTTTCAATCACCGATCATCCGCACGCTGACATGACGTGGATGACTGCATCGGGGGTCATGTTACCATGCTTTTTACGAACCACCAACCTGCTAAGAGACACCCTGTTGCAGCTTAGTTGTTGGGAACTTGGCCCACGGCATGTTGTTTGCGACTGGCCCCAATTGTTTAAGACTAGATTCGCACACACTTTGTTGCCGGGGCATATTCCGATAGCTCCTTTTCCTAGTTTAGTTATTCCGTCCAAGCTCACTGTGGCGAAGGAGAGCAGAAAAAAATGCAAATTTGCTCTTCACGGGTAAAGCCATGCGAGGGATAATGAGAATGGGATGGAATGAGGTGAAAGATGAGAGCAGCACCCTGTTCTCATACCAGCGCTGAATCCCATTTCGCATGTGCGATTTATGTAACTCGCCTGCGAGCATCCGAAGTTGCGCAATCCCGCCATGTTATGGATGTGCCTTACCTGCGGACGTCCACACGCCTGACCCGGTCGGCTGGTTTCAGATCATTGAGCAATGGGTGAATCAGACGTACGAGAGCCGGACCGGCGAACCCATCACCGCCGATGGCGTCACCGGCATCTGGTCCGTCACTGTCTCCATCTTCTGCGTGGGCGGCATGGCCGGCGCCATGTTCACTGGCCTCGTCGCCGACAAGTTCGGACGGTGAGCGAATGCGGTGCTACTCACCGCTGCACCGTCCCCTCCCCCACCTCCCCCTCCCCCGCACGCCATCGGACTCCGTACTCACGGGCGAGAGAAACGCATGGCTCGTGCTGAAGCCGTCTGACCTTGATGTGCCGGAGGTAGCTCGTGTTACTTTGACTCGTGTGGTGCGACATTGGTGAAGCGTTTGTCGCTCTTACCTGCTGACTAGTTAGTCCCAGTGATATCTGCAGGATGCGACCGATTTGGTGACGGTATTCAACAGCGATGGCACTCTCCACCCAGTTCGGCATTTGGCTGGCGGTGCATATCAAAGGGTGGGTCGGTTGTCGCGTACATTCAAACATTCAGCTGATTTTTCACGGCAAGACAAAAGTTTAAAAACACGTATGAAAGTAGGTCATGCACTCAAGTATGGATTTGTTCCGCGTTGAACATTAGTTTTACTTCAGATAGGGAGGCCGATAAAGCTATTCAGTTTTTGTATTTTCCACTTTCCCAGCAAAATTTTGGCCCTGAAGACCAATTTATGTCTTGTGTGTGGTGGTATCTGATCTCCTAAAGCGTGTGGTTCATTTCCACACATAAATGGGGATTATCGAACCATGGGGGCATATGTGACGATGATTTTGGCGCAATAACTACCCGATGCCCGGAAATGTTGTTACACTGGGTGGTGGCGTATTTAGATCGCGCTGTATTTTTGCTTTGTTTTGTTTCAATGTAAATCATCAAAATTTGCAAGATCAGAAATATGCATACTTAGTTTCCGATCGAGCATAAACGACCCTGGCAGGGCTAACGCCGGTTGCTTGTTTTTTATGTACATAAAATGTATAACGGATAAGTACATACAAGATTTATTAAAAATGCATATGTGATAAGCAATTGGCCTTCAGTTATCCGTGTTTTTCTTGTTTGCCGCTTGAAGATAGTAGCAAATGTTTGCCAAGTCTATTCCTTACACTCGTATAATTGCGCAGCAGTTTATCCGGACACTCCCATGTAACGCTTCGACACGAAAACCTGTCAGGCATTATTTGACATCGATATGATCCCTCTAATCCAAAAGTAAACAAGAACGGCACTGGAATACGTCACTGAGCTATCGCAATAATGATTTGGAGTCTTTATCGCGACTTCGCTTACATTTTGTAACTTTACCCTCAGTTGCAAAGAAACGTATTTCGCTATCACAGCCAAGGTGGCGGCGACAGCGGTCTAGAAATGGGATATGACACACTTCAGATGGCTGTTCAAAGCCCATCCACATTTTTATCGCCACTGAATTTCACAGTTTTGTGACATCGACTCTGCGATAGTTTGCCCATGTGATGGTAGACCCGGTCCTCCATGGTACGGCTGCATCTCACCATATGTTCCGATATGTTCCGGACGCAGTCCCTTCGTGCAACCACCAAGTTAAAGACGTTGCTATATGGACTCCCGAAACAGCCTCCTACCTCGTTTCAGCAGTAGCTTAAGCCTGCGTAACCATTCAACGACTGCGTGCTGCCTAGCTACGATCTAGGTGGGTCTGCCGGGCCGGGGTCACGCGCTGCTTACTAGGATGACCTCGTCGCCCGTCGACAGGAAGGGCGGCCTGCTGATCAACAACCTGTTCGCCCTGCTCGGCGGCGTGCTGGAGGGCTTCTCGCTGATGGCTGGCAGCTACGAGATGTTGATAATCGGCCGGTTCTTCATCGGCGTCAACTGCGGCCTCAACGCCGGCCTGGCGCCCATGTACCTGACCGAGATCTCGCCCACCCATCTCCGCGGCGCGGTGAGGCTGGCCGCGGCGCCGCCCGCGGAGGGCACGCCCGGTCCAGGGCGGGAGCACCACTCACCGTGAATCCGGTGTGGCGTCAGCAAACTGGCGTTCTGGCTTAGTTTACCGCGTGTGTTAGATTTCAGGATGTTGATGTTAGGAGACGCGAATGCCGCTGTTATAATGCACGGACCGTGCACCCGCTGAATCGCACCGGCCGTAGGTCACTGGTGGGAGGGTGTAGTAGACCTACCCTCAGTATTTGACCTCATTTGACCCACAAACCAACGACCAGCTAGCGCCTTGCCCAGCGTCCGGGGAATTCAATGTCAAGTTTGAACTCTTGCGGTCAGCTGGTGACCCTCAAGGCTGGCTCAGCCTCAGTGCTCAGCGACACAATTCAAAAATTACAGCCCTCTGGTACATACAACGGATATCTTTCTGGTAAACAGGCATCAAATCATACTTGAAGTTATACTAGCGATCAATGAACAGCAAACGGCAAAGCGGTTATTCAGGCCTTCACACGCTACGTCATGAGTGGATGACCTGGCATGGGCTTCATCCATTATATGCTAGCGAAATATGCTTAATGAATGCACCATCAACCAAAGCAAAGTTGGTGGTACTAATTTGCATCGTTTTGGTGCGGCATCAAAACTGGCGCCAGAATGATGAAAGCCACCTCCCCGTCCCGAGAGGGCTAGGGTAAAATCATGTCCATGTATTTCGCACGCCACTTGTATCTACTTCTGGACCGCTACAAAACTTGATATTTGGGCTGTCTTTTGGAACGCCTGCCAAACAGTGTGGCGAGCCTGAGGTCACCAGCGCTGACTGTGTGGCGGGCCTGAGGTCGTCAGAGTTGACTGTGTGGGAGCCTGAGGTCGTCAGAGCTGACAGTGTGGCATGTCTGTGGTCGCCAGAGCTGACATTGTCGCGAGGCTGAGGTCGTCAGAGCTGACAGTGTGGCATATCTGTGGTCGTCAGAGCTGACAGTGTGGCGAGTCTGATGTCGCCAGAGCTGACAGTGTGGCGAGCCTGAGGTCGCCAGAGCTGACAGTGTGGCTAGCCTGAGGTCGTCAGAGCTGACGGCATGGACCTTCCTGTGCCGACAGATTGGCTCCCTGTACCAGCTGGTGGTGACCATCAGCATCCTGGTCTCGCAAGTGCTGGGCATGCGGAACGTGCTGGGCACGGCCAGCGGCTGGCCGTGGCTGTTGGCGCTGACGCTGGCGCCAGTCGTGTTCCAGCTGGCCGTCATGCCGTTCTGTCCCGAGTCGCCGCGCTTCACGCTCATCAACAGGAACCGCGAGGTGGACGCCCAGAAAGGTGCGGCTCGCTCGCCACCCTCGCGTGCCATTAGCAGTGACAGTGGCGCCAGCTAGTGGTCCCATAGTACCGACTTCAAGCCGCCCGCCGGTCTCTGGCGCAGGCGTTTGCCGTGGCTGCGAATGGCTCACAAATGCGCCCCATTGGGGTGCAACGTGCCGATGTGATCGACATAAAGTCCGCAATCTTTGCTCGTCTAAGTGGGTTGGTAATTTCCACGGTCATGGTAATTAATGTACGTTAAACAAGATCAAAGGGTGGACTTTAACACGGCGCCTTCGGCGGCTGTGATGCCCGGAGTGGCCTCGACCATCTGCCGCACTGCGTTATTATGAACCCCATGTGATCGCATGGTGCCCTTCTTGATCCGTCCATCACCGGCTGTCCAGCTGTGGCCCACGGGATATTGCCGGCGGGGTCTTGTGTGATATCCTTCCTTGACCGACGCACTGCATCCCTTTCACGGCTCTCTTCTGGTTCCCCGTGTTTCCCATCCCCCGCCCTTTGTCAGCAGCCCCGGCCTGACTGACCTGACGTGACCCTTCCCCCACCCTCTGCCGGCGGCCCCGTCCTGGCTGACCTGTCATGACCCGTCCCCCACCCTCTGCCGGCAGCTCTGGCCTGGCTGCGCGGTTCTCCCGAGGTGCATGAAGAGATTGATGAGATGAAGGCGGAAAATGAGGCGTCCAAGCTGACCCCACGCGTGACGCTGAGGGAGATCACCACGAACCCCGCCCTCCGTGCCCCCCTCATCATCTCCGTGATGATGATGCTGGCTCAGCAGCTGTCGGGCATCAACGCCGTAAGTCTCCGCAGTCGGGCACACGGACGGATCCAACGTGTTATCTTGGGCGGGGCGTCAAGTTCCGACGTTCGCGCGGTTGCTTGAAATCGAACGCAAAGGGGAAATATTTGTTTTTACCCTCGAGAAGGGGTATGCTCGCATGGTTCCCTTGGATACACCTTCAGTGCGGCACACGCCGTTTACGACTTCATTGCATGCCTTCATATCGGACAAGGGCGTGATATATGCAACATTGGCATGCTGTACTTAAATAGGAAAATCGCGTCAGCAGGGAAAGATGTGTACTCCCTGGAGTTAGCCGCGCTTCCTCTAATCAAGCACTGCAACGCCCGAGAGCCCCAAAACCACCGTCATTATTACACCGGTGCATACCGTGAGGCTGCCTGAACCCTGCTGGTTTCGATGCCAGGGCAACACTGAACCCGCGCCCTCAGGTCATCTTCTTCTCTACGGACATCTACCAGCGAGCGGGCCTGAACGAAATGCAAGCCCAGTCGGCCACGCTCGGGATGGGCGCCATGAACGTGCTGATGACCATCATCAGCGTTGTCCTGGTGGAGAAGGCCGGCAGGAAGACGCTCCAGATGATCGGCCTGAGCGGCATGTTCGTCGTCACCGTGCTGCTCACCATCTGCCTGGCGCTGAAGGTAGGTCGGGGGGCCGAGGTGCAGCGCCGGCTGGTGCAGCGGCCCGGCCGTCACAGCGCCGGCTGGTGCAGCGGCCGGCCGTCACAGCGCCGGCTGGTGCAGCGGCCCAGCCGTCGCAGCGCCGGCTGATGCAGCGGCCGGCCGTCACAGCGCCGACTGGTGCAGCGACCCGGCCGCCACAGCGCCGGCTGGTGCAGCGGTCAGGCCCTTTAGACGCAGTGCCGGGGCTGCTCGGCGCTTTTTTCGGAGTCGGGCTGGCGTAATAATCTTGTACATGGCTCTCACAGGTGCTGAACAGAATACTGAACAATACTGGTTCTGATCCACGTCTGGCTCTGGATCTGTTTTGTAACAAAAAAAAAGCAAAACAAAACAAAGCAAGGCATCATCTTACGATCTACTGGTTCTGATCCACGTCTGGCTCTGGATATGTTTTGTAACAAAAAAACAAAACAAAACAAAGCAAGGCATCATCTTACGATCTACTGGTTCTGATCCACGTCTGGCTCTGGATCTGTTTTGTAACAACAAAAAAACAAAACAAAGCAAGGCATCATCTTACGATCTACTGGCTCTGATCCACGTCTGGCTCTGGATCTGTTTTGTATCAAAAAAAAAAAACAAAGCAAGGCATCATCTTACGATCTACTGGTTCTGATCCACGTCTGGCTCTGGATCTGTTTTGTAACAACAACAAAAAAAACAAAGCAAGGCATCATCTTACGATCTACTGGTTCTGATCCACGTCTGGCTCTGGATCTGTTTTGTAACAAACAAAAAAAACAAACAAAACAAAGCAAGGCATCATCTTACGATAACTTATCACACCCAACAATTCTTGTTGCCATTATCCTGTTGCTCTCAAATCATTTTCCCTCTAGCAAAGAAGACTTTGAGGATGTTGCGGGATTTAATACGTGCTCGGGGGAGTCAAATTGATCCCCCCCCCCGAAGGTTTGTCGGGAATGATTTCGGAATGGCGCGGCTTATGCGCACCAAATTTTACATAGCTGTAGACAAATGAATAGCGGATTGTCTGGCCTAACAAAAATAGATGCACCGTGTAAGGTCGCTGACCTATGGCAGGGCAAAAACAGGCCATGCTTCTGCGAAGTCTATTTCTAGGGAGTCGTTCAAGCTGATGCGACAACGGAGTGTTCGACGAAGCCTCAGACGAAACTTCAAAACCAATCTGTTTTTTTTACTCTAGTGCTTGCTGTATAAAGTAGTTTCTGGTACCCATTTCGAATATATTGATAACAGGAACTGCGCCATACATTTTCCATGGAGTTTCAAAGGACAGAATAGGCCACTGACCTAAAACAATCCAAGTCAGCACTTTGTTTTTAGGAGCATACTACCTAGCGTAATATTTGTCCCTTATTCAAATGCACAAGTCAAGGCAGTCATGCATAATTTGGTCACCATGACCTTCGAAAGGTCATACAAGGTCACTGACCTCAAATGAGCACGTGACAGCTTGCTTAGAACAGGTATCTAGGTTCTGGGGCACTTGGAAGACCAACCTGGAAATTGATCTTGTTTGACCTTATTTGGCCCGAAGGTCATAACCTAGAAGCCTCAAACCCAGACCTAAGTGAGTTCAGGTACAAACCAACACACCCTGTAAATCCTGGGCGCAAAATGACTATGAATGACCACAATGACAAGTGGCAATGCGAACACCAATGAACAACAACCCTATAAATTCGGTGTCTCTAGCTCTCTTCGTGCCTGAGATCCGGGGGGGGGGGCAAATTGACCCCCCACCCGAGCGAAGGGTATCCAACCGGCCACCCGGGCGCGTGTTAAACCTGCATTACAGCCTGAGGACCACGCTCGTGCTCGTGCAAGAGTTCGTTGTATCCGCAGAGGCCTCTCCCGGCCGTGAGGGGTCAGCCTCCTCCAGACGACAGTCGACTGAGGTGCCAGGAGTGCCTGACGCCGTCGCGTGTCGTGCCGCAGGACCAGGCGCAGTGGCTTAGCTACATCTCGATCGTGCTGGTCATCTCCTTCGTGGTGTGCTTCGCCACCGGACCAGGCAGCATCCCGTGGTTCCTGGTGGGCGAGCTGTTCGCCCAGTCGGCCCGGCCCACCGCCACCAGCATCGCCGTGGCCGTCAACTGGACGGCCAACTTTATCGTCGGCGTCAGCTTCCTGCCTCTTGCCGTGAGTGGGCCGCGCCGAGGGTACTCGTGTGGACCGGGGCGGCGAGGGAGCTCGGCCTCACGCCGGGGAAGAGGATGACGAAAGCGTCGCGTTAGGCACTGAGGACGACGATGAGGAAGGCTCCCCACGGCGCCGGAGGACGTTTTGCACGATCGTGGTGATGATATCGCGAAAGGGGACCCGATGGGAGCGAAGAGGCAGTGTCGCGCACTTGCTGGGTGACTACGGACGGGCACCGCATGTGATGTGTTGAATATGAGGGACATATCTTTGGGTCATGGGAAAACAAATTCAATTATCCTTTTTTTCGTTTTGTTTCAAGTCATTTTTCGCGCAGCAGCGTGGTGTGAATCGCTTCCAGACTTGACGAAAATCGATCAGTGCCCACTCGTCCTTTTCCTCGCCCCATTAATGTCCATGGTCGCTCACGCAAATGCCTGAAAATTTCGTCTTGTCTGTTTAAAGAGGCAATCGTAAACCCATGGGGTAGTGTTAATGAAGGCGTGAAACGCTGCCAAATTGTGTCCCGGTTTCGTGCCTTCTGGTCATACACGAAGGCGATGGGCACGCTAAGCATTTAAATATATCATCCGGAAGCAGCATTTGGCGCTTTCTCCTGTAATTAGTCCGCGACCTGTTTATTACGACAAAATCAGCGCCTGCCCAGCCTCAAATCGCACTGTCCAGATTTCCACTGAGGCTGGGGCGTTGTAATAAACTCCAAAGCATTTAAAGAAATCGTTGTTACCGCCACTGCATTTGCAATATTTCCCCAATTCCGTGCTGCCGCTGGTCAACTCTGCTGCAATGTTTCTTTGTTGTCATATCGTGCATTAACTCCAAACACACCCCGCGAAGATAGTGAGAGTGCTCCTTCCCCATATCAGAGTTTCGCTGGAAATGTTCTAGAGTCCTCTGATTGCGCCTGTCGCAACCATTCTCAATTCGATATTTGACCCCACATTTAGCACTACGCCATCCCCCATTAACTTCTCTGCAGACGTACCAAGCTTTTGTCGCCACGAGCTGGGGCTACTGAAACGCGGGCACGGCCCGGAACGACGGCTCGACTGCCAGACTGTTTCACATTTTCCCACTGCCCGTGCAAGACCAATTGATCAAAAGTGCGCCATGTATTGAAGCCTCCGTTCACTAAAAATGATCCCTCGGTCCAAGCGCTCAGACAGCGAGATTTACCACCAATCCGTGTCTTCCAGAACGCTATGGGCCCGTACGTGTTCCTCATCTTCGCCACCGTGCTAGCGGTCGCCGTGCTCTTCACGTGGAAGAGGGTGCCCGAGACGAAGAACAAGCCGATCGACGAGATCACGGCCATGTTCCGCCAGCGAGCGTACGACAAATAGACGGAGGCGCCGCCGCGTTGCAGCGCAGAGGCTCCAGTCGCATCAGCCACCGGCCGGCCGCTTATAGTGTTTGTGATACGAGGATTACCTGTGTAGTTAGTGTGGCCGAGTTGTTTTCGCGAGACAAACGTTACGACAGGCCGCGGCCGCGTCGTCTGCTTGACGGCCTTTCCGTCGGTGTGCTGTCGGCAGCGGCGTCGCCCCTCGACGCGTTGTTGGGCGCCGGGCGCTGCGGGCTTTCCTGGGCGCGCAGGAGCGGCTGAGGCACACCTGCCGGCGCCGCGACCCGACGGCCGCGCCGCTGTGCTGTACTCGCAGGGCCGGACACCCGGCTGCGCGCGGCCACCGGGCCGTGCCGCGGGCTCCGACGGCCGCCCTCGTTCGGAGGCGCTGTCGTGTGCGGTAGTGGGTGCCGGCCGGCACGCCGCCATGAATCCACCGCACACCCGAAAAGCAACAATAAAGCTGGCTGTACGTGTCTCCAGTTGTTATTCACACAGGCAGCAGACGGCCGGCCACCACCACACCCAGACATGTTTTTATTTTTTATTTATAAAATTATAATTTGCTTTATGATATAAAGCGCGCCGAACAGCGGCGGTGCGGCGCCGTGCCGCCCGCTGCCCCGTCCGCCGCCCTCCAGCAAACTATATACACACAACTGACACGACTTATCCATAACACACAAGGTAATATGCCAAGGATTATTAGATTTACAAAGTTCATTAAATAATGCGCGTTGCCATCGCAAAATGAACGAGCTTTTGTATCCATAATACAAAAAATCACTAAACAAGCACCAGTGTCGGAGTGTTGCGTCAGCCGTCCGCCTCGCCCTGTTGGCGCTGGCGTCGCTTTCCACCCTGCTGTGACGCAGCCACGCCGCACTAGCGCCGCTCTATCGGACCATCCCATAGTTACACTTGCACGATCTCCCTGCGACGGCGCTGCCATCGCGTCTCCAATTATTCTAGGCGGGGTGCGCCGGCTATCACGTGCGCTCGTCGTCGTCACCAGCCGCGTCCTCCTCTAACGCCTTGAAAAACGCCTTCACCGACATCAGTGCCACGCCCATGCCCTCCTGTTCGGCTGGGTCATTGCCTTCGCGCCAACGCAGGAACGCCGGTTCCGATATCACGTCCATGTCGTACAGCTGGCGGAAGCATTGGTCCAGCACATCTGCGGAACGGGAGCCAGGTCACGGAGAGCTCGCCGACGGCCGGCCGGCGCACAGAAGCAGTGACCGGCAGCCGCTGGCGGCGCAGAACGCCAGCTGTAGTCACCATCACCAGAGGGCGACCGTGAGCGAGCCATCAGCACCAACGCCACAGGCCCACGAGGCGGTCGTCAGCCGCACACAAGATATGCTGTTATCAGTAACAGAGAGCTATCACCAAATAGCCAACACATGATCAACACCAATCAACTCCACCGCGGCACTCACCAAAGTAGGGTAACTACCAGCAGACGGTCAACGGCACGCTAGCCATCAATCATCAGACGTTCCGTACATCACCATTCTCGGCCGGCCACCATGATACCGGCCGTCCGCAGCAGGGCGACACACTTACTGGGCGGGAACTGCAGGTGCCGCACGAGCGCCAGCACGCCGTACAGGGCGGCCAGCTCCAGCTCCACACTGACTATCAGGCACTTGAGCAGGGGGCCGTGCTTCTCCAGTCGTGACAACTGCACCTTCTCGGCGCCGTTATCTGGAGACGAGAGCCAGCCGTCAGGTGCCAGCGCACGCACACCACCGCCAACTGGGGTCACACACGCTACCGGGGCGGTCGAAAGAGATCACAGGACGAGCACTCGGCAGACCACTGCTGACTGCACGGCAGCGAGCTGAGCCGGACCGCAGCACACACGCATGGCAGGGCCGCACAGACTCGTACACAAACTGACACCAAACGGGAGACCACCAGCAGCCCCGCGGCCGAAAGAAGCTGAATAACCCTCCCAGGTGGCTCAACTTGCTTGGCACCGACAGCAGCTGTGGCTGTGATGCGGCATTTAGGCGAACAACAAACCGGGAGAATAGCCCAAACCCTCCACTTACCTATCACAATAGCATCGAAGCACAGCGCGCAGACAACGTCCTTGATGAACTGGGCGGAAGCGCGGTCCTCCTCGCCGACGTTGCGCTTGACCCAGAGCTCGAAATCGGGCTCGCCCTGGACGCGCGACAACAGCGAGCGCACGCCGCGGCCTGGCGGCGCCTTCTCTACCGAGAGCTGCACGTTGGCGCCCGACACCAGAAAGCCCAGCTGGGCCTGCCGGCAACGACGCGCGTAACGTCACGGCGCGCCCAATGGCAGCCGAGCAGGCGGCTGGCGCGCGACATACAGCAGCGGAGTCCACCACGGTCAGCGCGCACGCTAAACACACCACATAGCACCGTACAGTGCGACATCAACCAGTGAACTTCACCGACTACATTACACAAGTCACCCTCACAACACAGTCGTATACAGCACCCTGCGACGCTTCTGGGGGCTCTGGCCCTGCCGCCCAAGGTCTGCCTCACTCCTACCAGCCCAGCTTTGTAGACGCCCCCATACTCACGTTGAGCAGCGGCTTGACGTGGTCATCGCTGCCGAAGAAGCAACTCCAGTCGAAGTTGGCCGGCACCATGGCGCGCACCTTGTCGGCGCCGTGCAGCGACACGAGCCGCTTGAGCAGCGCCACCAGCAGGCGGCCGCCGCATTTGTCGGCCACCAGGGCGGCGGCCGGCGCCGCCAGCGCCGCCAGCGAGACGGCCGGCCGGCCAGCCGTCAGTGGCGGCGCCAGCAGCTCGCCCAGGTTCGCCCACATGGACGGGATGTCCGGCGCCAGGTCGCTGGCCACCTCGAGCAGCTCCTGGGCGCCGGCCAGGTACGCCTCGGCCGTCAGGTGGCCGCTCTCCAGCAGGCGGCGGTGCAGATCGCCCGTCATGTGCCGCTGCTCCGTCGAGCGGGCGTCCACGTAGAAGTTCAGGCACTCGGTCACGAACTGGGACATGGTGTCCGTATGCAGCTTCTCCTCCACGTCGAGCAAGCTCGTCTGCCGGGCGCGATGGGGACGGTCAGCACATGCACCGGCCGACACGGCGTTCCGGCGCAGGCGCGCAGTTATGCAGGAAGAGGCGAGTCCGCGGCTCTCGTACCACTTACGTCGTTAAGAAACCACGACAACCAGTACCGTCGGACAGACCAACCAGTAAAGCTAATGAGATATAATAAAGCTGTCACCTCAGAGCATGACAGCACTGCGGCAGTGCAAAATGACAGGACAGGCTGTAGCTGGCCGAAGAGGCGCGCTTCCGGCCAGGTTACACTCTTACCGGGAAATCCTTGCTATCAATATACTCCTCGCAGATAAGGCGAACAGTTCCTCGCATCTTCTCGCCGTCCATGGTGGCTGGGCCGTTAAGGCGAGGTCCGGCGGGCGCGGCCGGGGCGGCGGGCGCGGCCGGGGCGCCGGCGGCGGCGCGCGCCGGCGGCCGGCCGGTCGGACTGTCGCGGCCGCCGCGCTCGCCGGACGAGCCGCGGCCCGGGTCCGGCCCCAGGCGGCGGCCGGGCGGGCCCAGCCGCATGGGCGGCGGTGCGCCGCTGCCGCCGTCCTCCGGAAGCATGCTGAACATGTTGGGCGTGGTGCGCACGTCGCCGGCGCCCGGGCCGGCGGCCGGCCCGCCGCGCCGCCCGCCGGTCACCTTGGAGCCGAACGACCACGAGCTGCCACCGCCCGGGCCCAGCTTCACCTGGTTCGACTCGACCTGGTTGGCGCCGCTGCTGATGGCGTTCATGACGCGGCTGGCGTCGAAGCGGCCGCGGTTGACCGTGCTCCAGCCGTCGGCCGACGGGCCGCCCGAGCTGCCGCGCTGGCCGTCACGGCCGCCGCCGCGCCGCCGGTCGCGGTCCGAGCCGCGGTCGTTGCGGCGCCGGTCCTCGGCCTGCGCCAGCGCCACCTGCTGCTCCACCGCCTGCTGCCGCGCCTGCTTGTGCACCTCCTCGATCGTCATCGGTTTGGCCACGCCGGCCGTGCGCGTGTTCACCCAGCCGTTCTTTCTCATGTCAATCAGGTCCTGCAGCATGAAGCGGATCCGCGACGAAAACTTCTTTTCCTGGATCACCTTGTTGAAGCCGTTGAACATGCTGCTAAGGTCCTTTCCGCGCGCCGCCTCGGCCTTCTCCAACTTCTGGCCGATGGTAGTCATCAGCTTACAGAGGCACTCGTACGAGTCCTCGTGCTCGTCCCTCACCAACTTGACGATACACTGGTGCATGATACGGTCGGTGAGCATGCCCAGCTTGTACAGCTCGCCGATGAAGCGGATGTTCCCGTTAGAGCGGAGACGCATCTTGGTACTCTCCTTCTCCAGCGAGCGCATCTTCTCCTTTTTGACTTCTTCGTCCTTCTCTTCGGCGATCTCCTTCAGTCGTTCGTCACGGTTCAGCTCCGACGACTTGTCCTTCTCAAACTCGCGCTGACACTGCGTCAGCAGCAGCTTGCGGAAGTTCACTTTCCCGTCCTTCTCAGCGCTCTCCACCTGACGCCCAGCAGACAACACACGTTTAAAGAAGTGCGAAGCAATAGCGTGACGTATGCATAGAGAAAGACATTCCGAACGAGATCGTAACACACAGGACCTTCGCTAAATTACGAACCAACAAGCTCAAGTCTCAAGTCCCAACCTTTCGGTAACTGCCCAATTTCTCATTCGAGCACGTGGCAACAGTGATGGCGACGCATCCTGAAGCCCTGTCACTGGCAGACAAAGCACAACACGGCCTTCGCTCTATGTAAAAGCAGCTCGGGCCATCACAGAAATATCTGCACGACACGAACCACCTCTTAAACTTGATAAGACTGGTCTGGGATTACCGAGAATGTTCACTAGTCGCCTCCGGCTCAGAAATACGTCGCGAGGACCGACGCCTGAACCTCGAACACCAGTTCCAATCGACGGATAGCTTTGCTATCCAGGGCTGCCGAGGGGTTCGGTGTGTCCCAAATCCAGCGGCATGGTCGACCCGTGCAACGCCAACATTGACAAAATATCAGCTGAGCCGAGCTAATTGGTCGCGTCAATATCAGGTGCGTGCTCAAGGATTCAAGTCTAGTTTCGCAAGGCTTCTCGACGCAGATGGCATTGCAAGACCAGCCAGCCCACAGCCCAGCGACGGCCCCTCCCACTACCTCTCCCACCCCACCCACCCCTCACACACTTACACGCCCAAACCCACACATTGATTAACGAACCCAGTTAAAGACCCCAAATCACCGCCCCATCACGGGGCGTCGCCTGGTAACACCACTGTGACTCACCTCCGTTTTCGACATGGACACGCAGAGGAGCGCGTACTGGTCGGCGTACATGGGCTCGTCGACGGCCTTCTCGAACAGCGTGCTGATCATCTTGTGCAGCCGACTCTCCGTGTTGAGCTCGAGCTTTTTGATCTCGCCCGTCAGCCGCTCGATGTTGTTGGGCGTGATCTTGTTGAGGATGCCCTTGAAGGCGCGGATGACGCGCGACTCGTCGTCCAGATCGCCGGGGCTCGCCTTGTACGTGGCCTTCCAGGCGTTCTCCGTCTCGCGCAGCTTGACGTCGCGGTTGAGGCTGATTTCGATGCGGCGCGGTCCAGGCCCGGGGCCGGCCTGCTGCTGCATCTCGCGCCGGCCCTGCTGCGAGCCGCGTCCGCCGCGGTAGCCCTGTCGCAGGG